CCTCCTCCTCCCTCCGCTGTCCCCTCCCCTCCTCTTCCTCTCGCCCTTCCTCTCTCCCTCTCTTTTTAAGCGGGCCCCCTCCGCGCTGATTGGGCGCCCGGCCGCGCTGTGACCGCCCTGCCGCTATGTCAGCCTGCCCGCCGCAGCCCCGCGCCTTTGAACTGCCCCGCACCGCCCCGCGTCCCCACCGCCGGCCCGCTGCTGCGCCCGGCGGCTCCCCGCCCGCCTAGTGCCCGCCGGGCCCCGCGGGCCTCCGCTCCGCTCCGCGCTGCTCCGCGCCCCGCCCCGGCACGGCTCCCGCCGGGGACGGCCTTGGCGGAGGACCTGTGATGATCAGCTGAGCCCGCTCCTGCCGCTCCTCCGGCTCCTCCGGCCTTCTCCCGCCGTTCCTCCTCCTCCTCCTCCTCCTCGTCCTGCCGCCGCCGTCCGGCGCCCCGAGCCGCCGCGCCCCGCAGAGCCGCCCGTCCGCCCGCCCGGCAGAAGCATGTCCAAGCCCAGCGACCACATCAAGCGCCCCATGAACGCCTTCATGGTGTGGTCCCGCGGCCAACGGCGCAAGATGGCCCAGGAGAACCCCAAAATGCACAACTCGGAGATTAGCAAGCGGCTGGGCGCGGAGTGGAAGTTGCTCTCCGAGGCGGAGAAGCGCCCGTACATCGACGAGGCCAAGCGGCTGCGGGCGCAGCACATGAAGGAGCATCCCGACTACAAGTACCGGCCCCGGCGCAAGCCCAAGAACCTGCTGAAAAAGGACAGGTATGTCTTCCCTTTGCCTTACCTCGGGGAAACAGATCCCTTAAAGGCCGCCGGGCTTCCCGTGGGGGCCACTGACTCGCTGCTGAGCTCCCCGGAGAAGGCCAGGGCTTTCCTGCCTCCCACCTCAGCACCTTACTCCTTACTTGACCCCAGCCAGTTCAGCTCCAGCGCCATTCAGAAGATGACTGAGGTTCCTCACACCTTAGCCACCAGCACCCTGCCCTACGCCTCCACCTTGGGATACCAGAACGGGGCGTTCGGCAGCTTGAGCTGCCCCAGCCAACACACCCACACTCACCCCTCGCCAACTAACCCGGGCTATGTCGTGCCATGTAACTGTACCGCTTGGTCGGCTTCCAGTTTGCAACCTCCAGTTGCCTACATATTATTCCCAGGCATGACCAAGACTGGGATAGACCCCTATTCTTCAGCACACGCGACTGCCATGTAACACCCACCCACCCACACCCCCACGGGCGTGTGTGTGTGCGTGTGTCCCCCACCCCGGCCGGCAGCTGGAACTGGGATTCCTCCGTGTGTGCATGTACATAAAACCTGCAGGAGCAAAAGGCCACCCGAACCAGGACTCTGCCGCCCGTCGCCGGGCCGGGACAGACGCGGACGCTGCCTCGGAGATGCTCTCGCCTAAAGCTCGCCACGAGAGCTGGCCCCAGGCTCGGGGGGGATCTGCAATCGCGGGGGCAGATAGGAGCCCGGCACTTGTAAGAGTTGTAAATGTGTTTAAAAACAGAAAAGAAAAGCGAACCTTGAACTGCCCTTTCGGGACAAAGCGGGGAGAAAAAGAGAAAAAGACGAAAAGGAAAAAAAAAAAGAGAGGCTGTTTCGATTTTTATTTATTCTCTTAATGTCTGTGAGTTCTCCAGGGTCTCATGTCACTTGGACTTGACTTTGGGAAGTCCCGGTCGTACTCTGATTTAATTTTTTTTTTTTTTTCCTTGTTGTTTTCCTTTTGCACATTGAAAGACGAGATCAGCTGTGTTACATATATATAAATATATATATATTTTGCCACCACGTACTACTAGGTAAAATTGCTTTTCATGTGAGAAAAAAGGCTCTTCAAAGTTAAAAAAGAAAAAAAAAAAGAAAAAAAAGGGGAGAAACATTTATATTTAAAACATATGATAGTGTTTGCTTAATTTAAAACAGATAGTCCTTAAATTTGTGTGATCCAGTGAGACTAGATCTAAGTTTACTTTAGACAGAGCGTCAGGTATGAAGTCAGGCAGTAGAATTGTAAAAATTTATTACTACTACTAATAATAATAACGAAAAACCGAATAAAAACCGATGGCAATTTAAATATGTTTTCACAATGTCTTGGGCAAGAAGAAACAGAAACTAAGATGTACCCGGCAGGATTTTACCTCGTTAAACCTTTTCATTTGTTGAACAAAGACGTTTTGAATAAAGACAATCTGTCATCAAACGAGGCAAGTGCGTGCTGTGAGTGCGGGGACGAAGCCCCGCGTCCCGCAGCGGGGGCCGCGGGCGCTGCTCCCGCTCCGGAGCGACCCCGGCCCGCAGCCCCCGGCCCTCCCCGTGCCCACCCCGGAGCCGTGCCGGCTCGGGCTCCGCTCGGAGCCCGTCGGGGAAACGCTGCTGCGGGCGGAGAAAACTTGAGAAAAGACGGGATGGAGCGGAGTGAAAGCGGGGGGCTGCTTCCCCCCGCCCCCCGTCCCGTCGGGGAACCGGCTTTTCCCAAGTTGCCTCCGCGGCGTTGAAGTTGTAGCGGTGCGAGGAAATATTCGGAGCGGGCAGGGGAGCGCTGGCGGTGCTGGAAGGGGGCGGATTGGAATCAGCATCTTGTGCGGATCAATTAGCGGCGTTTGCGGGGCTCTTCCCTCGACTGAGGGCGGGAGTCGGGGGGCAGAGGCGAGGGGAAGGAGGAAGAGGCAGAGGATCCGTCTGGAGGGGCTGAATAGCCGGAGCGCTGCGTGTTTGGATGTGCTTTGCTCATTAAGTGCTCTTTGGAGACCGATGTTAGAATTAAACGGCGTAACACAATTAACATACATGGGGCTTGAATGGGAGGGTAAGCGGGGGAAGAATAGATAGATAAATAAATGAGAGATCAGGCGAAGGTAAACAAAAGGGGAGAGGAGAAAAGGGCTGAAAGGAGAGGTTAGAATGGCTGCTCCAGCCTTGTTTAGCATGACAAAACGGCTCTTACAAATGAGGACAATTAAAGGAGCTGGCTTGGGGAGGGCCTGGGAGCCGCGGGACGATCCGCTGGGACACGCGGGGCTGGATGCGGCCGGCGTGGGGCGGCGCGGCGGCGGCGGGCGCTGATGTAACCCCAGCTGACAGGCGCTGTCAGCCCGGCTGATAACACCGATAGCTCAGTGTCCTCCGACATCCACCCGCATTAGTCTGACAATGGTCGGAGGCAGAGCCGGGCGGGGGGAGAGCCGGCCCTGGCCCGCCCGGGCCACGCCGCTCGTGGGGCAAAGCGGGGGCCCCGCGGCCGTGCCCCGCTCCCCAGCGCGGCTGAGATTTGGGGGACGCTCCGTACCCCTGAGCCCGGACACCCTCGGGGCCGCTTCGGCGGCTGCGGGGGAGAACGGGCCCGGTGGGGGCCGGGGCCTCGGGGAAACGTCGGGGTGAGATGGTGAGCTCGGAGCGACAGAGCTGGAAACTTTGGCGGCGACCTCTCTACTTTCCTTCTTTATTTCGCTCTTTTCTTTCTTCTTTCCCCTTTTCTTTTCCCTTTCACTCCTCCTCCCGCCCCTTCTTTCCTTCCTTTTTACTTTCCGTTTTACCTTATTTTCTTATCTTTATTTATTAATTCTATCTCCTTCTCTCTCCCTCTCACATTTTCCCCTTCTCTCCTTCCGTTCTCCTTCTCTCTCTTTCTCTTTTCCCATTTCCCCCTCTCTTTACTCTTCCTCTCTTCCCGTTTCTCATTCTCTTTTCCTCGCTGCCTCGCCGTCCCCCTCCCACCCCGCTCGCCCCTCCGCAGCCTCTGCTCGCCGTGTTTCGCTCCCTTTCCCTGCGCCGTGTTATCCCTCCAGCCCTCCCGCCCGGTTGCAGGTGTGTAGCTATTTAACTCGTGGAGATAAATAAATTAAATAATGATCTTGACACTGCAATGAACTGATTACTGACTTTGATGTCAAAGGGAAACCAAAAACAGAAAGAAAGAGAGGGAGAGAGAGAGAGAGAGAGAGGGGTGAAAAAAAAGCTATTCCCTCGAGGGGGAAATGCAGCTCCTTGTCAAACCTGTTTCCCCACAACTGTCTCCTTCTTTCAATAAAATCATTAAACAAAGGCCGCGGGGTTATGCGCGCCACGCCTTGGGTGCGCGGCCGGGCGCTGTCCCGGGCTGGGCTCCGCCGCGGAGCCTCTCCCGCAGCCGCGGAACCCCGCGCAGGCAGCGCGGAGCCGAGCGGGGAGCGGAGCAGCGCGGCCTCGGGCCCGAGCCCCTCCTGCTGCCCGGCCCGCTCCCCCCGCAGCTCCCCTCGCCCCAATTCCTTCCTTCTTTTTATCCTTTTCCTCTTTTCTTTTCTTTTCTTTTCTTTTCTTTTCTTTTCTTTTCTTTTCTTTTCTTTTCTTTCTCTTCTCTTCTCTTCTCTTCTCTTCTCTTCTCTTCTCTTCTCTTCTCTTCTCTTCTCTTCTCTTCTCTTCTCTTCTCTTCTCTTCTCTTCTCTTCTCTTCTCTTCTCTTCTCTTCTCTTCTCTTCTCTTCTCTTCTCTTCTCTTCTCTTCTCTTCTCTTCTCTTCTCTTCTCTTCTCTTCTCTTCTCTTCTCTTCTCTTCTCTTCTCTTCTCTTCTCTTCTCTTCTCTTCTCTTCTCTTCTCTTCTCTTCTCTTCTCTTCTCTTCTCTTCTCTTCTCTTCTTTTTTTCACTATTCTCCTCTTCTCTCCAGTTCGGCTCAGCGCTGCCTGCAGGACCACCTAGACTCTTAAAATCATCCACTCTGGCCTTGCTTTAAAGAAAACAACAAATAAGAGAGGGGGAGAGAATATCTCGGGAGGCCGAGGGGACCAGGAGAGCCCAGGTGTAGCTGTGAGACGGCCAGGGAGCTCTGCTGCAGGAGAGACAAAGACAGAATTAAGAGATGTTAAAAAACTTTATTTTAAAGGACACATTAAGCCCATAGAAGTCTCTGAGAGATATTACTTATTTCTGCTTATTAGTGATAATAGCCCAGTAAATTTGCTATTGAGTGTATCAAAGGCATTCAAAGAGACTTTGAAACATCAAAAAGATTGCAATTCTGATTTTACGGTTTTATTCCAGGCCCGACCTCCTGGCTACATTCCTTGATTGTAGTGTTTAAAAGTAAGCGATGATCAGAAACACGTCTTCCTCCTCCTCCTCCTCCTCCGCGGGCAGCGGCCCCGGCCGGCCGGCGGTACCGGGGGTACCGGGGCTGCCGAGGGCCGGCGAGGGGCTGCGGGTGGCAGCGGGTCCCGCGGGCAGGGCTCCGCACCAGGGTCCCCCCGCCGCAGCCTCCGCACCTAAAAAACATCACAAAATCATTCAAAACGCTTCTAACGCAAAATCTTGATGTAAAGGCAGCCCAGCCCCGGCTGCTCCTGTCCCCTCGGGGGGCTGCAGGAGCCCGGTGCCGCCGGGGGACGCGGGCTCAGCTCCCCGCGCTGCGCCGAGCTCCGGAGCGAGGAAGCCTCGGGGCTTTTGATGTGTCTGTAATTTACCCTTTTTATTATTTTTTTTTTTTTTCTCTTTCGGTCCTTAATTTTACCTCCTCGTCTCTCTTTTCTCCCTTTACACGCCTCTATTCCAGTTGGGGTGTTTTATACCAACATCAAAGGGACTACGCAGCCTTTATTATTATTATTATTATTCCTTTCTCTCTCTCTTTTTTTTTTTCCCTTCCCTTTTTATTAGGGCAAAATACTTCATTATTCCCGAACGCTTCTGGTTCGGAAAGCTAAACAAGAAATAACGTGCAGGGTCTGTGCAGGTCCACGCTGCAACAAGGCAACATGTGTATGCCTAAAAGCCCCGAAATTAAATCCAGGTTGATCCCAATTTAAAAGAGGAGAGCGAGGGAGCGGGAGCCGGCTCTTTGAGTGGGTGAGAGAAAGAGGGGAAGAGATGAGTAGCTGGTAATTATTGAAATATAAGGATGAGATTAATTCAAAGGAAACAAACTATGAAAACAATTGGAGCCGAGTGAAAAGCAAAAGCCAGATTAGAATTTGCTTGTGGTTTGTTGTCTGTCTGCTTTCTTTCCTCCTCCCCACCCATTGTCACAGTGCAAGGCAATGGGATTTGCACACTTGAGGTGTAATAGCATTACTGCATTAATTAAAATTTTCATTTCACGTCCAGATTGTTTACTTATCTGCTGGAAACATATGTCGGGAGAAGTTGAGATTCTGGATTCTGCTCCGCTGCCCAAGGTGCAGTGCAGTACAGGGGGGGAGAGGATGACTTCAGATTTTTTTTTCATTGCATCCTCCAGCCTTATCTCTCCGCTGTAAATTATAAGGAGACTCCATTGAACTGAATATGAAGATTATATTTGCGAGCGGCGCGTCCTGGAGCGGCCCCGGTCCCACTTTGAAATGAAACAAGCCTTGCGGACCCCGAGCCCCCCTTC